ATAATTAAGTATAAAAGATGAGGAATTAACCCACTAATTAACTCAAGGTTACCTCTTTTAACCCCCAAGTAATTGAGTTATTAATATTAAACCACTAACTTTATAATTAAAGCAGGAATAGTCCAAAACGTCCCTTAAAACATTTAAGGAAATCCGACTCAGCCTAGGATTACGCAACCTATGACGGTCCGTCATGGCTGTGACGGTCCGTCCTACAGGTCCATCGCAAAGTTCAGAGAGTTAGTTTCTGTGGAAGATGTGTGACAGTCCGCCGTGCCCACGACGGTCCGTCCTGCCATTCCGTTACGAAGTTCAGAGAGTCGATTTCAGTACCCAAATTTCAAAATTCTAAGTGTTTTGGAACGAGACCCCCACGACGGTCCGTCGTGCCCATGACGGTTCGTCGTGGGATCCATCGACTTAGCCAATTTTTCCAGAAATAAAATCTACTGCTCAGAACGACTAACCCACAGGTCGTTACAGAATCTCTGCATATTTTAAACGTTTTCAGCAAGAAATGCATCCTTCGCAGATAAGGTGGAGTGATCTCTGAAATTTGTTGTCCTTCGCTCGAGATAGGACGAATCTCGTCCATTTTCGTTGGGAAATTGTACACAGTTCCTACAGAATTCAGATTTACTGTATGATTTTGAATTAATGTTGCGGGCCTCAAGGCTGTTCAAATTCGAGCCCTGCAGAGTTTTTCCGTTGTAATCATTTTTATGAAATGTGGGGGGGGGGGCTGAATCTGAGGAAGTTTTATTTGAAGTGGTTTATCGTGTTGTTTGACAGTTGTGCAATGCAATACAAATTTTATCCCTTTATTTGGTTACTATTTGTATTGGAATTTCATGTCATTCTTTCCATTTAGATGAAATAGTTTCTCTATATTAATAAAAAAAAATTCTAAAGACCCTTTATCCTTTTAGCATGCCGTCAATTTTTTGTCTAATTAAGTGAGCTCAATTTTCTTTGCGTTTATTCACTGTTAGACTAATATCTAGCGTTTATTCACTGTTAGACTAATATCTTGCTATCATGTTAAATTATTTTCTTTCGTATTCCAATAGAATCTGGCATGGTATTTGACTCGATACTGTAAATATATGCATATTTTATTTTAACTTAAAAAAGGTTTTTTTCGTGTATTCCATGGTTTTAATATTTGTGTGTTCTCATTTCGCTGTAATCTCCATGCTTGGTTTTGTTAGTAATTTATAGCGACACTGTTACAGAGCTTCAAATTTAGTTTGTATTTACTTTCCAGGTGAATTGTCTCTCGTTAGTAAACCCCATTGCAGTTATATAATGTTTTTTTTGTTTTATCCTAATTTTTTCTATTATCAAGTGCTTAGTTCATATATATTCTCTTAATTTGAATTAGTGTGTCTAAAGATGTGTCATTTCTATCCTAAGCCAATTATGCTTGCTTGTTTTCCCTCCCCCTACTAAGTGGGGTTTTGACCCCTTAGTTATTCCTTGATATTGTCATATTACTTTTCGGCTTGCTGTGATAACATTTATTCTCGAGTATGGTGATGTGTTCTCTATTGAAAGGGTAATATTGTTCCAGCTTATCCAAGATGTGAAAAATTGGAATTTTCCATCTGGCATCATTTGAAGTGCATGAATTATGTGACACCCAGAATTGATGTTGATTGTAATTTTTTTTGTGGTATTCTATTATTGTAATGAATTTCCCTTTTATTGAATTATTGCGAAGATTAATTATATACTTTATCTATTTTATTGCATGGGAAATTCGTTTGAGTTCACCTTGAGCTCCCCTCGCTTGAACCTCGTGAGAGTCATTAAGACTCGATTTCCTTCTTCGAGTCAACCAATCATGAATGACGGACAGATCCGAAAAGGAAAAAATTTCGGAAGCAACTAAGAAAGCCGAAGGAGTTTGACTAGAAGACCCCCTTTTATTTTATGCATTTTTGTATTTTGTTTATTTTCGGGCATAAGCCTTTTTCTTTTTCCTATTTTTATATTTATTCTTGAATTATTATTTGCTTTGTTTAGGAAAGGTACGAAAGAAAAGTGGGTTGAAAACTCAAAAAGTCAAACGGGTCAAAATCCAAAAATAGGAGGGTCCAAATACCGGTCCAGGCAGACATATAACCCGGGTTGGACCCAATCTCTTCCTCCCTCTCTCTCTCCCTATATCCCTCCCTTTGTTTTATTGTCTAATTGCTTATATCTATGTGCTATTAGTTTAAAGTTTAAAAAATTCAATCCCCGTAGAATGTCGTAATGTTTTAGGAAATAACAAATTTTGGCAAGCTAGATACTTTTACTTTAAAAAATTAAGTTTTATTTCCCAAGCAATTCTAAATAATTTTATTTTAAATAATTTTTGGCTAGATAGTTAGTTGTCGGAAAACCATACTTAACGGGTATTTTAGGTGTTTTAAACACCTTCCTAAAATACAATATGAATGCCTGAACCCCTTTCGTGTTTTCAAATGATATTTATTTGTTTAAGTCTTTTGAAAATAAAGGTTTTCTTAATTTTTCTCAAAAATTAAGTGGCGACTCCTAAAAAATCAAAAACTTATAAAACAAAAAATATTTTCTTCTTCTTAGATTAAAGCAGAAATGATGACTCTGCTGGGGAATAGGAGGATTCTAGCCTTAAAACTAACGTTCTTTGGCTATTTGCGATAAATTATTTACTTGTTTAGTTTACCTTAGTTTTAAATTTTTTGCATTTCCATGACATTCTTCTGCCAAACGGAAAGTAGTATGCATAAGGAAACGGAAGTTACGTGGCTTTCCACGGCTTCTTTTAGAAATACACAAAGAATTCATTTAGAAATATCAAAAAAATAGTTGAAATGCGGTCATCCGACGTTGTTTGGTAGCTTCACCTCGATGTTTGTTAGACTCGAGTAACCGTCAATTTGAAAACTATTCTAGTAAGACTAGGTTATAGCAAAACCAAAACAAAAAATTAAGCATGAGCCTAAGACGGCTTAATACCCAAAATATATTAAGTCCATTTAGTAGAAAACCGCCAAAATTGTGTCTATGGTCTTCGACCTCACGATATATCATATTATTTGACATTTGAATGATGTACGTGTGAAAACCAATTTGGGGGTGGTAAAACCTAACTAAGTTTCTGTTTTGTAGATATAGATCATTTCCCAAAGTTTGATATGGTCATAGCAGCGCCACCTCAACTCATAATGTGGTATGACAATCTCGACGGAAATCATAGAAGAACCCTCAACAAATATGTGGGTGCGTTAATAGAATTAATCAATATGAACGGTTGGCCAGAACTAATTGAGGTCCTTACGGGATATTGGGATAGCCAAAGAATGGTCTTTCAATTTGTCCTCTAGCATTTGCTATGGCCTTATTGGGAACAATGGTCTTCCCTCATGGTCCAAGTCTGAGTATCAATACCCGAGTTATAAAAATCATGCATACCTTGCTCAAAGGGTATGAAAACCAAGGGACAACAAAATACTACCCTATAGCTCCGGTCATCCTATCCGATATGTATCGAGCCGTGGGAAAATGTAGAGAGGGGCATCGATACTTCCAAGGATGCAATTTGCTCCTTTAGTGGTGGATCCTCAGCCATTTGGCGAAGGGTGCTGGGACTCGAGAGCTGCATACTCTTGACTACAAGAACACCCTTAAAGATTTGAACGACATGTTGTACTGGGCAAATATGGACAATCGAAGAACTAGGGGGAGATGGGCTCAAATTTTCTTCGAGTTGAGAGAAGAAGATCTCCAATAAATGCTTGATTGTTTCATCTCCAAAGAAGTTATCGTGGAGAGCCGCAAACAGGTTGTTCTTCCTCTACCAGGTATTCGGGGAATTCACCCTTATGCACTCTTTCGAGTCTTGCGACAATTAGAGAGGAGATAAACGGTACTAAAAGAAGCGTACTATGGCGCTTACGCATACGATATTGGAGATGATAGAGTGCACGAATCGACTGAAATGTTCAGAGAATGGAAAAGTGTCAAGCGTATGGATAAAGACACCATCGCCCCTAATCGATTTAATGCTGGATATGACAAGGGTTTAAAAGAATGGCTAAAGAGGGACATTAAAAACATCTCCTCTCAAATCCCGCGTAGCTTTCGCAGCGTGACGGACAGAGAAGTCAAAGCAATGGCCGAGCTACAAGAGGTAAAGAAAGAGGCCCAAGAGGTGTACACTAAGTTTGTCGAGAACCAAGATACTCTTGAGAGGGTGACTCAAGAAGTGGAAAGACTGAGGCGTGGTTATGATGATTTCGATACCTGGATCAAGGAGAAAATTGAGAGGATGTGATATGAAAGCTTGGAAGACAAAGGACGTCTGGGTGAAGGATTTTGCTAATGTTAAGATATATGTTTCAGCAATACAAGACTATGGGGAACAACGACGGAGCAGGATCATCTAGAGAGGCATAGTGGACTTCGCCCCTGCGTGGGTTTTTTATATGTATTTACGTTGTTCTTAGACCCTGAGTGGGCCTACCTTTATTACACTTTCAAATGGCCCCTGCATGGGTTTTTATATAATATCTTGTCCTTTATTTTCCCCTTTGTGAACAATGTTATTCACTAGTGAAATTTATTTTGGGGGAATTGTTTATTTGGTTTAAATTAACACATACATCTTTCAAATACACTAGGCCTACCCTTGGCACAAAAGGGTTCCCCTGTATGTTTTAGAACGGGATATGTGTGTTTAACTGCTTACTAGGTTTTGAATTGGGAAGAAATTCCCAAGGAAGTATTGAGCCTGTTTCGATCCTTGTTATGGGAGCCAAATATGGTTTGGGGTACATCCCCTCAGATGATGACATGAAGACGAAGAAGAGAAATGATAAAGCATCCACCTAAATGAAGCTCAGAGAGAAGGTCTGATTCATTTTGCTTACTGAATATATTGATGTGTTCGTTTGGAAAGTCGGTGACATGCAAGGGCTGAATACCGATGTAGTATCTCATAAAATGCCAATTAACCCGGGGTCGATCCAATGAAGCAAAAGGCTCAGAAGTTCAAGCCTGAACTAAGTTCAAAGATCAAAGAAGAGATCACCAAGCAAATAGAATCTCGATTGATGAAATTGACACAATACCTAACTTGGTTAGCCAATGTTGTTCCAGTTGCCAAGAAAGATGGGAAAATCAGGATTCGTGTCAACTATAGGGATCTCAACGAAGCTAGCCCGAAGGATAATTTTCCGTTGCCAAATATTCATATTTTGATTGATACCTGGCTAGGCATGAAATGCAGTCATTTGTGGATTGTTACGTAGGTTATCATGAGATTCAGATGGATGAGAAAATGTTGTCATATGCTTTATTGGTTTATCGAACGACCTCCAGAACATCGACTGGAGCTACTCCGTACTTGCTAGTGTATGGGACAGAAGCAGTCATACCCGCCGAAGTTGAAATACCATCCTTGAGAATTATCCAAGAAGCTGAGTTGAGTAATGCTGAATGGGTTGGCAAGCGGATTGATCAGTTGACCTTGATCGACGAGAAGAGAATGGTCGTCGTTTGTCATGGTCAAATATATCGACAGATAATGATTCGTGTTTTTCACAAGAGAGTAAGAGCTAGAATTTTTGAAGTTAGTAAGTTGGTTCTTAAGCGCATTTTCCCTCATCAAGACGAATACAAAGAAAAATTTGCATCAAATTGGCAAGGACCCTAAATGGTTCGCAAGGTATTATCCGAAGGTGCTTTGGTCTTGTCGGAGATGGATGACACCGTATGGCCGAAACCAATCAACTCGGATGCTGTAAAGAGATACTACGTGTGAAGCTTTGGTTTGCATTTTTGTTTTTTGCTTGTAATCATTCTATTTGTTGTATTTGTTTTGCTTAAATTTTTATCCCTTTGTAATGAACTACGTCTGACCTGAATTGTCAAGAATGAGATACGTAAGAGGCCTGTGTCGGCCTCGGTCACCCATTTATCCCTTTTAATATTTCTTTGTGTTTGAACTACGTTCGACCTGAATTCTCAAGAATGACATACGTAGGCGGCCTGTGTCGGCCTCGGTCGGTTTCTTTGTAATTTTCTTATTTTTTCAACCTTTGAGGGGGGAACTACGTTTGACCTGATTCATGCCTTAAGGAATATGTAGGCGCCACAAGGGTTTGGTCATATCTTCTGTAAGATTTCTATTCCTCTTTACAATATAAACTAGGACAGAATTTTTAAGAGGAACTCAAAAATTCTCGAGAAAAAGGTTCTACCTCAACAAGTCAAAGACTGAAGATACTTCAAAATTTGCAACTTGGACAGAATTTTCAAGAGGATCTCGAAAATTCCATGATTTACTACCGACAGTTGAAGGTAACCAAAACATTATCTGGGACTACATTTTGAGGATGACCTCAAAATTTCAACTGGTTTATCGACAGTTTGTAGTGACTCCGAATACTCCCCAGCAAATAATCAAATATACCTCCAAGCATCAGGCTCAGAAGTTCACTAAGTCTGACGTGACATGACACTTGGCAGTGATCTTTTCCAAAATACTACTTTGCAAAAATATATTTTTCTTAGAATTTTCCTTTTATGTTCCATTTATTTTGACATAAAATATTTTGTTTTATCTATCAAGAGTTGGGAGATCGGGAAATCAACCGAAGGTAGCAGGACGAGGAGCAGACAACTGAAGGAATCGACAAATATCAGTCTATTTTAAAACTAACAATTTTTATGTGGATGCAGGTTAATAGCTTTGCTCTGAAATAAGTAAATTTTTCTGATGGATTAATATGGAGAAGTCAAAGGAGGAGAAAACTATCCCAGAATCAATAGTTTTCCTAGAAGCAAGAAGCATTATGTATCGCTTATGTCGGAGACTTGGGAATATGATTTGTTTATTTCATTCGATTTCCAACAACACTAAGTTTTCAAGGAATATCCAGTTGGATTCGAAGGAATCAAGCGAAAATCTCAAGGAAGACTTTACAGTTGCCGTAAAGGACATCATTTGCATCATAATGCCAGATATGATACTATACGTTACCCGGAGGGGTCACTTATTTTATTGACGATCAAGACAATACACTATCTAGAAAGTTGTTTTACAACTATTATTAATTGTGATGATATGATTATCCAGAATGCAACCAGAAGATCACTATGTTGCTCGTTCAAAACACTATCTTCATTTGGTTTCAAAAATGACATCGCGAGTCAATATTCATGCATCGCGGAAGATCATGCAACGTGAGTCAATATTCATGCATCACGAAAGATCATGCATCGCGAGTCAATACTCATGCATAGCGGAAGATCATGTATCGCGAGTCAATATCCATGCATCGCAGAAGATCATGCATTGCGAGTCAATATCCATGCATCGCGGAAGACCATGCATCGCGAGTCAATGTCCATGCATCATGAGAAATCATGCATCGTAAGTCAATATTCATGCATCGCGAATTCCAAGCGTCGCGACAAGATTTCATACCTCGTAGAAATTTATGCATTGCGAGAAGATTTCATACCTCATAGAAATTTATGCATCGCGAGAAGATTTTATTCCTCGCAGAATTTTATGCATCACGAGAAGATTCCATGCCTCGTTGAAATTTACGCATCGCGAGAGGATTTCATGCCTTGCAGAAATTTACGTATCGCGAGAAGATATTCATGCCCCACAAGAAGGCATGCACTACAAAAAATGGAAATCATGCATCCTAAGAGAAATATTTAGCCATCAGCACCAACTGCATTTTGTTATAAAAGCAAACATCAAGAAGAACATCGAAGATGACATCAAGAGAAGTATTAGCACCGCATCAACTTTCCTTTATGTTGACATTAAATGAAGAGTACATTGAAGATTACATTGCAAACATAAGACATAAGCTTTATTTGCTTTACGTCGAACCGATCAAGGTAACGTCAAATGAAGAAGGAGAACAACTAAGTTTCAACACGTCTTTGTTGAGAGCCTCCGAAAGGATGAATTCTCTAAAAATACAGGTGTGGACAACATCAAAAGGGATGCATCACAACGTGGAACTTTTCTCAGCAGCGAACTGGGACACAGTCCAAAGAGGAGTGTCAAACTCTTAGGAATTTCGGTGTCTGCCGGAAGAAAGTTTCCAATTTGAGTGACGAGGTGCCAAGAGTTTTCGAAATTATATCTGTGTAAGTTCTTACCTATAGGTGTCAATAGCTCCACATTCATGGCTAAGAGGTTACAAGCCTCCTTTTCATAATTGACTTATTTTGTCACTTGTCTAGAGCCAAAGGTTTATCTAGCATAATAGATTTCCTTTTCAAACGATCGAGTCGAACCACAAGCAGCCTGATTCTTAATATTTAAGGGATATGTAGGCGGGTTCAATGTTGAAAACTCAGCTGTGTTCTAACATTCACTCTCTAATCCCATTCTCGAGCATTTCGATCCCTTCATAATCCGGTGTCTAGATGAGTTTTAAATTCTTTAAAAATTGTTCGTTAACTCGAGAGTGTCGAACTACAAGTGCCTTGAATTCTCATATAGCCTGAGATATATAGGAAACCCTTTTCGGGGTACGGCCATAATCCCTAAAGTCCATACCAAAAATCTTTTGTCAAATATGAAGATGAGGTCGGTCAAAATTAGATTGGTCAATTTCATTTTCCTCAGATTTCTTGCATCAACCCAAGTAAAAGGAGGGACAATTGTTGACACCCAAATTTTGACCCGCCTCGATGGTAATTAACTAGCAAGCTTCTCGAGTTTAAATAATTTAAAAAATAATTAAATTTATGAATTTATATATATATATATATATATATATATATATATATATATATATATATATATATATATATATATAATGAAAACAACATTAATAAATAAATTTTGAATTGTGAGTTATTTTAAATAAGGTTTGACATTGTCTCTATTGTTTCAACTATCGTATTATCTTGCATATTTATTCGTATGATCATTTAAATTTTACGAATATTTAAAATCGGAAAAAGTATAATAGTGATAGTATCATTTTGTTGACGAATATTTGTTTAAGCATTTTAGCTCATATAAACAAAGTATAATTCACTCTCTTGAGAAAGCTAGAGGATTAAGTAATATCAACAAGTCCAAACAATGGAAAAAAGTAGCCTAAACAATTTTAGTTGAACAAGATATGTTGCACCAACCTGCAAAGACAAAGGTACTTAATAGCATAGTGAGGATAATGGTACAACCAATATGCAACAAGCAGCATTATGGTTTTAAAAAATGGAGTAACTGAGGCTCTATTAAATTTTGGGGACAACATTTGTATTTTATGTTTTTTTATATAGTTATTTATAAAGAAATTAGATAAATTTCATGTTCTATGCAACAATCTTCTGATTATTAATTGCGCATTCAACTTTTAATACTAATTCATTGGGCTCGTGTAGAGCATGAACAACTTTCCACTAGTATTATAGATATAGAACATGATATAACAAGTCAATTGATAAATTATTTTTTAAAAAAAAGTTATAATCCTAAACCAAATTACAAAAGAAGTTTGGTTCAATTAAATATTTTGATTTAATTATAATAATGCATATGATAAGGTTTGACAACATTTGAGTTGAATTTGAAAAATAATTTTTAAAATCTAAAATCGAAAAGAGATACGAATGTTTGTTTATTTAAATGAGAAAATAACATAAACAACTAGATCATATATTATTAATGAAAATGATAGCAACTTACATGATTGTAATATTATTAAAATAAAATAAAAGGCAAAACAAAAACTCCAACATCTCAATAATATAAATTTGAACTTTCTAGGACCCTAAACCTTAAACTTTGAACTCTATTCTTGAACTTGAATCCTGAATCTTGATTCTAACGCCAAATATTGACCTTGACCATGACCATGACTTGATCCTGAACTCTAAAAACTAAATCCTAAAACCTGAATCGAAACTCTGAACCTGAATTTGATAACCTAAGATAAATTATGTGTGATTTCATTCAAACTTAACAATCCACAAGATTCACATCCCAATTAGGATGAAACAATTGATTGGTTCAAACGGTAGTGCATAGTAAAACTAGCAACATTCAACCATGCTTCAAACTTGGACACTTCATCTTCATTAAGTTGCTCAATCGATTCCCACCAACCTTTCTGTCTAGTTTCTGTCATTTGGTCAAGATAATTTGTTCGATCACTTTCAATTTTTTCTTTGATGTCAAGTTCTTCAAGCTTTTTTTCGAGTTGATTCACCGAATTTTGAGCAAAAACCATGGCCAGGTGAGTTTCATCACTTAACTGCGTATCAGGATTCTGAAAACGAGAAATGACTGCATCAGCTGTAGGGTGAAAAAATGAATAAGGCTTACCAGTAGGAGCAAACACTATTATTCCAATGTCAACATCAAATTCTTTTACGAGATTATTCGCTACTTTGAACAAACCATCACGGCGCTTTGAAAATGAACTTAACAAGGCCTTTTCATTTTTCATTTTTTTCATTGGTATCTTTTGACGTCCTTTAGCCTTTTTATTCTCCATGGCTAATTGATAAAACACGATTTATGAAATGATTTTAGTAAATGATACTTATGAAAAGACGATATCGCAACTATTTATATACGTTAAGTTTTTTATCAAGTGGCACATAACAAAATTTCTATTATAAATAAAAATAATATCTTCATCATAGAGAAAATTAGTAAGTGAAATG